TAAGGCCTGTTAAGAAAGTATTATTCTTGCCTAAAGTAACGAATCTAGTATCTGAAGCACAAAGAACAGAAGAAACACATGATTTAAGAATCGCTCCACTGGTGTATATCACTGCACTCCTGCAAAAATAAAAATAATTTAGTGCTACTGCCAAAACTAGGACCGCCCACAAACCCACAAACTGCATATTTATAAACTGCTTGCTCAAAAGCAGTTTGGCATGTTGCTTTATGCATAGGAAGAAACTTGATCACTGAAGTAAAATCACTGCCAAGAAAAGCAGGAATGTTTTGTCAGGGTGGCGTATTTTAGTTCTATGTTTAATGATCTGCCTTTCTCCAAGCTCGTTTTACCTTAAAAGGCTTTTAAAGTGTCAAGTATGAGCTACTGCTTCCACAAGTATGTTATGCTGGATTGCAATAAATAGGTAATTCACATTTCCCAACCATGCTCTACAAGAGAGCTTTTATAAAGCAGCAAGAAACAGAGACTTTATTTATACAACCTCACAAAACTTCATCAGCATCAGCTGTACTACGTACACTAGGCTGTCAAGATAAAATAACCAACATTTATTATTAGAAAACAGATCAAATTTGAAAAGATCCTCGGAAATTTTTTATTAATTTCACTGGGCATCTGCCTTAGTTTAGAGTAAGGTAGGAAACGATTCTGTGAAAATTGAAACTGCTTACAGTACTGGAACTTTTAAGAACACTACTATTAGAAGGTGGGATAAAAATACAGTTCTATTCACTTGAGAGGTACAAAGTGCAAAAAACTACTCCTGAATTACATAAGCCCAAGGAAATCTGACAGTCTTGTTTCAAACATGTTTAATGCTTAAGTTGCATGTGAACTTAGAGGTGAGGGATAAGACATGCCTCAGTAGGCTCCAAACAGTAAGAAATGGAAAGCTACATTTATAAATGCTCCGAAGAAGGACAAAATTCTTAGAACAAAAACTAAGTATGTTGGGCATATGAAGCTACGAACTTCACTCTTGTTTTGCAATGTGCTTCTTTACTCCCTTTCTCTCATCTGTCTTACAGGTTTTGATACAAGTCCACTACAATCTCCACTGTTGCAGCAATCTCCACCGCTTTAGTGGTTGCCACTTTATGCTGATACTTACACAACATACTTGAGCAGCAGTGCTCCTGCAAGAAAAACTGAAGGAAAGCAAAATAACATCTACAAATTAGTCCTGAAAAGACTAGGAGAGTAAAAAAAAAAGTATTTAATATACAAATTCTTACATGAAAGACCACAAACCATTCAGAAGTTTAAACTCATTTCACAGGAAACAGTTCCTTACATATGCAAGTTACACTTGAAAAAAAGAGGAGCTTCCATGGAGGGAGGAGGGCAAGGACATCCAAAAATCTCAACTCCCTCTTTAAACCACCAGTAAGAAGAGCTGTAAGTTGGTATCGCAGCTGTTTTATTAATCTATTTCACAGAATTAAATCTGTGCATCACAAAACTAAGACTACAACTCCTTTTAGTCTCTCTTGCAGATACGTGAAAACTATTTTAATATACTAAATCCAAATCACTCTAAGTTGGTGACATGAATAAAAGTATTTCTTGGAACTGGAATTATTTGGTAAAGAGGCTCTGACTGAGATTTAACAGTGTAAATCTAAGCAAGCGATTCACAACTGGTTAGTAACCATTGCATGTTTGAATAATTCATTACCAGCACTCAGAAGTACTTTTTTAAAAAATACTTGTGCTGTTGAAAAATAAAATATTGCTTCCAATCACCATTAGCAAGATCCTCTTTCAGACAGAGGAATGTATGTAAAATAAAAATTAGCAAAATACTACAGGAAAACAAGTTTCCCAAATAAGGTACTGTGAAATCAGAACACATACATATTGAAGATACATCAACAGATTTTAACTAACCAACTTTTAGAAAGCAAGGGAAGCAATATGTAAGTCTTTATCAATAACTTATCTAGTAGAGATCACAGAACTAGATTAGTAAATTGTTTAGGCATCACTAGGCTGTCCATCAGATTAACAATCAACGCAATCAAATTTCTAATGTACATCACCAGAAACAAGAATGCTTCAGGAAAGGAAATCTCCCCCACAGAAAATATTTTTATCATCTGTAACTAAACAAAGTAACTGGTCACTGCATTAAACTTGATTACAAGATGCTTTTCAAAGGTAGTTATACTTAAAAGAATCAAAGTTTAATGACTTACAGAAAAGATACAGATAGAAACTTTCAACAGGAAAGCCTAACACTGCAACCCTATATGAGAGGTTCCAATTCTGGTTGTCATTGCACTTACCATTTATCTTCCTCTTTTAGACTGAACAGTAAAAATGGATAGGATATAAGTGAAGGAAGCTTACTTTTGAAAGCTTTTGAGAAACAAAAACAAGGATTAGAAACAATTATTATTGTCCTTCTAAATACATGGTTGGCAGGAGACTTTAATATGTTATAAGGATTATGCCAAAAGAGTTTATCAAGATCTGATATGGTAAAAACCTATCCATCAGTATAAAAAAATGCAATTCTTATCAACAGTCAACTTTTAAACTCTTAAAATAGAGAATAACTTTTTCAGTATATGTACAATGGTAATCTGAGACTAGAAGTAAGTACCAGATGGAATCTGTTCCCAGCAAACAAGTATTCTTAAGAACAAATAAAACCAAATCAGTTGTACAAGAAATTCTAAATTGAAAACAGACTCGATGTATCATTTTGCAATCTTCAGATATAGTTCACAATTTTTGTCTGCTGCAAAATGGAAAGGCTTTTTCAAGTCCCACTCACACTACGTAAGTACAGTTATCTAAAAAAATGTTGTAACAAACACCTATAAAATGACAGGCGTGCTTAGTCACAGAGCTGCCCTGATTAGAAACTGCTGCTAAAGAAAGTAAGTAAACACATCATTTTCAATTTTGTTTCATTCCTTTTTCAAGTTTCAAAGAACATCAGAAGTAAAATATACATCAAAACATGATCAAGGTACTAGTCTAGATAAAAGGTTTTTGTCATATATTATTGTGTATCTCACTTCAACTTCATATGACATTTAAAAACAACACCTGTATTACATATTCCTTCACATATAACTTTCAGCACTTTCAGTAGGGCTGTTACTGCAGATACAGCATATATTCTTGCAGTGCATAATTAGTTCCAGATGAACCCAGCTCAGTGGGGATGCTACATTCTTCCAAACCATTCTTCCACTTTTGCCTTTCCCCTCCAAAAAACTCAACATATAAAAGTCACAAAAATTGTGCATAGTGATTGAAATGCTTTCCATTCGAACCACTCCTCTTCCTTTCTTACCCTACATTTTTGCCAAGTCCAGCACACCAACTTGGAACAGCTTCTATTTACACAGAGTTTGGAAGTTAAAAATGTAAATAAGCAATGAGGATGGCCAAACTGTGGCAAGCAATTCAAGCACAGAGACTAAGTAACATTATCTCAAGACAGATACAAGAAGAAAAGCAGTAAAGGCTGCAGTGGCCAACATTATCTGGTTTTCCCCAGCACTCCAAGTTGCAGAATATAGGCTACAACCTCCTAACAGCAATGGAATCTGAGGGAGCTACTGCTATCCCAAGCCTGTGGGTTGGCTCCCCAGCTTCCTGCTAGTGCAGTTCCCTGCAGCGAGAAGCACGGGCCTCACACAACAGGCACAGGATGATTCGGAGAGGTAGCTTAGAGGGTCAGAAAGTCAGGTGACCCCAAAAGATGCTACATTAAGATATTAAGGTGAAATAAAATTTCACATTTGGCAGTACAGAAGTCACAATCAGTAAGTACTACTTCTAAATTACAGCAGGCAACTGTTATATGTTATTTACTGAAGTATGTTTAATAATATTTGGAACACACTAAAGGACAGTGTGAGTTTTGAACTCCTGGTCTTCATCGGTCCGAAAAAAAGACATGCTTAAAGCAATTTTCTTTTACAGTGTGAGCACTTATGGAAATAAATGACTGACTGCTTTCTGATCCAAGTCCCTCAAAACACAGTGTGCAAAATCAACTGATATCTGCTAGTAAAATCAAAGTAACTATTTTGCTTTCTCCCAGTCTTTACTAAAAAGACTAAGTGGCAGAGGATGGGGAAAAATGTCCTGCCAAGAGCAGGTAATCATTTATTTTCTAGCATCTCTTAGGATGTCTCAGAACATATATAATAAATTCTTTGCAACCACACAGAAAATTTTATGGTATAGAACATAAAATAGGTATTTCTTCCACAAAAACAGAAAGTAGCTGAAAAATTAGCAGCTCATTTTTGATTCACTATCAAGTTGTACCTGTGAAGGGGAGTAAACTGCCCTCCTGCAGACTACAGTTGTTACAGTAACAGAAAAGAGCATTGTGTGAATCGCTTATTCATTGCTTCCTCACTAAGAACAGCTGTTAACAGTAAAAGGTATCCTATTCATATGAAACTAAAGCATTCGCAACACATGTTGCATTCATTTAACTGATTTGGTTGGTAGAAAGAAAGCATATTTCTTCACCAAAACAGATCATCACTCCATTTTGTTTCTGGAGTATATTATTTTACCAGTAAGCATAAACTAAAACAAGCAATTCAAACAAGCTTAACAGCATGAACTGGTTTAAAATTTAAACCTTCAGGCAGACTAAGGCACTTCCTCATGGAAACATCATTGATTCCCATCCCCTTTCCCAAATAAAAAAAGACAAGTTATCTAAACACCTTAAGGTAAGTGTTCAAAGAAGTCCTCAAAGAATGAAGTGTTACATCACCAGCTTGTAGGAAAAATGACAGTGATGTCATTAAGTGATGTCATCATACAAGAGAATAACTACACTACTGAATATGTACCACTTCTCTCAGGAGAATGATGGAATTCTAAACTAAAAAGGGTAAATATGAAGATGGCAATTCAATAGCTAATACAACAAATAATACAATGAAAAAATTATTTTGCAATTTGGACTTTCATCATAAAATTTGACTTACGTTGTCCATGAAATTTGGCTTAAATCCTCCCTCCTGCTGACGTCGTAATTCCTCCTGTTCCCTCTGACGCAGCATCTCTTCTTCACGACGTCTGTGTTCTTCTTCATGTCTAGAATATTTTTCAAAAATTATGTCAACTTAGTATCTTGACCTGTGCATGCTTGTACTCAGTCTCAGGACATAAGATCAAGCATATAAACAAAATTGTCCTTTTTTTTTTTTTTTTAATACAGTGTAAGGCACTGATCTACTCCACTTGATAAGCCTGAATATTATTGAAGTATTTTTAAATTTTTTTAAACTGGAATCCAGGTAATTGCAATACCATTACATACGATATGTAGTCGTTCAGGTACATACTGGTAAGCAGGTTAGAACTTTTTAACAAGTCACTATGGATTAAAACATCTCAATACTGCAAAAAGATACAGTTTTAACTCTGAGATGTGCTTGTGTTGTTCTTTTTTCTTAACATTTATTGTGATATTTAACATAAAAAGTATAAACTTTATCAGCATGATGATACTATGTCTATTTTCTTGAATTTTAGCAGAGATATGAAAACAAACATTTGCAATATACCAGAACATAAAGTGAAATTAGCCTCCAAAATCCCATGGCAGACTATAAAACTGCAATGCTACAGTTCTATATGCAGATCATCTGCCCATAAATCTTAGAAGCATGTTCACATCTATTACAGCTATGCTGCAGTGACAAGGTTAAAACAGATGTGAAACAAAAAAGCTATGTTAAGACATTTCTACACTACTTATAAATCTCAGAAATTTACAACAGAACTAGCGGAGCTGATACAAATGAAAAAAAATCAAGCAAAACTTGAAACTGTTGTTTTACATTAGCATTACATTATCATAAATAGCACATGTTATGCTTTTGAAAAGCCAATTTTTAGCAGCAGAAACATCTATTCAGTATCAATAGCAAGCTCGACAAGCTGAAGTATCTAAATTCATGCAGGCCTACAGTGGTTGCATGCCACACCTTTGCACAGTAGAAGACAAAAATACCTCAATTGTATCTGCTTGCGTTTTTGAAGTTCTTGATTTCGAAGTTCTTCCAAACGCCTCAATTCTTCTTGACGACGCATGAGATCTACCGATATTAGAAGTGTATTTAAATATAAAAGCTGTCAATCAATAGTGTGGCAACATAAAAAATGCTATTGTTGTCAGATTACAGTTCTAACATTCAAATTTTAAACAAATTCATCAATGCATTTAACTCATTCTTCCCATAAAGTTACGAAAAAACACACTGGATCTATGTGTCACAAAGGTAGAAATGTACAGGATGGGCAAAGCCTACACAGCAGGTAATGACAACAGAAGTCCTCAAAGAAAAGCAGAAAAACCTCACAATCCCTTACATCACATCCTGATTTTACATCTAGGGCAGGGCACCCATTTTCTCACAATGCTGCATACTGCTGAAGTCACACCACCAAGTACACTACACCTAGTACACTAATAGTAAAAGAAATATGGACTTACTTAAACTTTCTACTACCTATTGCAGATCACCTATATATGGCATGCATCACAAAATGAATTTCGGTGCATGAAATCCAAATCTCCATGGAGATTTATCACATGACTCTATAGCAACTTAGAAATTACTGGTATTTTAACTCCCACCAGAAAGGAAGAGCCACAGCCTCTTTAAAAGCACTTAAAATGCTCTTAAATAGCAGGGCACAACTCACAGTTATTACTTTTGCTGACCAGTCACATTTTTGATTCCTGCCTGGCAATTTATACTTTCTTCAAAGAATACTAATTCTACCTTTTGTTAGAAAGCAGTTCTTTGTCTTTTCTAATTTCAGAGTATATTGGCACAAGACATTATTTATAGACACCACCAGGAACACTCCACCCATACAAACTATTATATGCACATTTCTCTACGCGTTTCTTCGCTATACTAATTAAATAATCTTTTTAGCTATGCAAATCACTTTCCTCAAAATTGCATCAACATAAATTATAACTTAAAATTTTACTTTGATATCCCAAAAATACAATGACCAGTATATATTGCCCAAATATCATGTATTTGTTTTCATTTCTAGCAAAGATTATCAGATTTTTAATCTCACAACATCCTTATTGACATTAGAAGTCCTTTCTCAAACACATTTTGTAGGATTGCTTTTTCAATCTCTTCTGCAAAATTAACACATTTCACAGCTGAATAAAATATGACTACACTGAAGATTCACTCAAAACACAAAGTCTGAGGACCACTTCTTTCCAACAGTGCTTACCATAAAAATCCTGGCCACTGTTATCCTGATAATTCAGGAATTTCACAAGCACACTATTTTTCCTTTTCAATAACCTTCAGAATATTTTTGAGTGCAGGTGTACTCTTCTTTTAAAATAAACCTTTAGGATGCTTCAGAGTATTTGAGATTAAGGACTGACCCATTCTATACTCAACACTGTCCACTGCAGGAAAAGATGTTTCTTTTTCAGTTCTTTGTTCTTTCAATTTTATGTAGTGTTCCCTAGTTCTGGTGCACACTGGCACAGGATTTCTCTCTGGCACAGATACTTTCTCTCCATTAGTAATGGCTATAAATTTATCATTTACTGCCCTTTGCTCTTAAGGTGTAGCACACTACTTTTCCCACTGTTGTCTTAATTTTTTTCCATTGCATAGTTGTGATTATTGCCTTTGCTGAAATTGTTAGTATTTTGAAGTTCAACATAGCAATTCATGATTCAGTAGCATTTGACAACAGTAGAATCTTGGCACAAAGGCTTATGAGCAAGGGAAAATACTGATATACAGGTTTGGGCTGTGCCCATATTAAAAGCTCTGCAATTACGGTAATTCTTTACTGACTTGTGTTGGACATAGACTCTTTCTCTGAACTGAAAAAATGTGCAGTAAAGCAACTGTGGAAAAAAAACCAAAAAGCCTCTGCACTTTCTTGTGTTTGTAAAAGGACACCATCTTCATTTTATTCTCATCCTTCCACATAGCAGATGGAAGAAGGTAAAAGTGTACTCACACCTCAGAAGTTAATCCTACAAGTTGGAATACCAACTCCACAAAGACTTTTAAGCAGTTCTAGCTGCTGGTTTTTCAGGTTCTAAAAATGGAAAATAAATGCCAAGCTTCCACTAATTGATATAAAAGTTAAGTTTCTGCTTACATTCAGTCGCACTTTCCAGTATTTTCATAATCTACTTAACCATCATTATGAGAGAATATTTATGAAAGTTTGACACATACCACCAGTATGTAGATCAGAAATATCATGTAATTTACTTACACATGGAAACACGTATTCTGCTTTACAAATTACTTCTGACTCAGTCTGTCAAAACATGACACTTAAAAGTGAAAAATTACACATATCAAAAGAATGAAATCTACCTTCAGTATTACTACCACACCACAAAAATCTGAATACTTAAACCAACACATTCCAGAGTTCACTTAACTCTCATAAAGCAGTTTCTAAAAAACCTTCACCTGCAGGAGTGTATGAACCAGTAAGCTCATCCTTTCATCTTCTTTTTAGCTCCTACATAATTAAAATATTGCATTTCATATTTCATAATAACTAATGCATCTTTAAATCTGACTTGGTGCATCAGGTATACAAAAATATTAATTCTAGGTTCTTATGCCTTAGAAGTTTCATTGTATCTTTCTTAAGAATCCTGTGATGCAATCTCATTAATATAATTAATATTCTTGGCATGGCATAAATCCTTAACCTCTAGATCTTGGAAAACATCTGCAGGTGAATAAGCAGAAATCTAGTTAGCTGAACAAAATTCCAAGTTATCTAGTACCAAGAATGTACTCCACTAACCGAACTGTGAGGGGAAAAAAAATCCTCCTCCCACACTAACAGAAAGCACATTTGCTCACTGGAATATTAGCACCAAGTGCATTTATGTTCTAGTGGCTCTTTAACAGAAGGAGTAATTCTCTTCCTTTTCCACATAAAAGCAGGACTTAGCTGATATTCCAAAAGAGGAATGTCTTTTCCTTCCCACTGTACTTAAAAGAAACTCTAATATCTACAAAACACATCTAAGTTGTTTTCCCATGTTTTACCATCAAGAGCTTTTCTATCTTAATAACTAGGCTGTCACATCGTCTCACTTAACATAATTAAGGTGTGATAATTCAAGAAAAAGTAATCCCTCATCTTGCCCTCAAGTACAGGCAACAGGTGAATGAATTCTTAGAAAATTAAAGAGCATGAGTTCTAGAACTAGACCATTAACACTGTTAAATATTAGCATTTAGCTAAGTCAATGGCAAATTTACCCAACCTGTATCTTCAGCACTGAACGATCTTAGGAAATATCAATCACACATAAACATAAAATTAAAAATATATGTCTCATTGGAAAGGGAGGGTTGTATGGTGTATTATAGGCATGGCTGTTATATCCTATTAACATGCACATTCCTCACCTGTAAGATACACCTATGCTTACATAAAAACTAAACGCTTTAACGTTTTTTCTTGGAAAATAAACCAAGAAACAACGTGATAGTTGTTACTTCAGGTGCTGCAAAACAATTTACAATGTTACTACGCTCTCTATAAGATCTTACCCTTTCTATGTTATCATATATATAAATTATGGTTTTAATAACTATGCTCTGTATAAGACCTTACAAAAACAGCAGGGCTTCACACTTAAAGTACGTGTGCCTAGTCAGGAAAGACACGCTAAATAAAGTTTTTCCTAATGACAACTTTCAGTTGCAATAGTTTTAAGAATACTACATAAAAAATGAAGTACATTCCTTTAAAACTCCTTCCCAGTTACAGAAATGTTTTAAAGCTTATTTTAGAAGACTCTGCATTTATATGCAATATATTCAAGCATTTAGGTTCTCTAATTCCACCAATCTAGTGAATACTCTAATCTACCTCATATACTTTCAATGTCTTCGAGTAAGGAGGAAAGAAATTAAAACAAACCAGTCCCACACAGGGAAGTCATACTATTGACAAAAATGTCCGTTTTTAAGTGTAAGTTTTAAGTAAAGCCAAGTAACTGCAGCAAGTAACTTCTGCCACTTAACTGAGTTTAGGTTTTGAAATGCATCACTACTTAGAACCTCATCAAGTTCACATCACTTTGAAATGACAAGGCATTCTTATTCAGTCTATCAAGCTACTTGTTGTACTGTCTGATGATCTAACACTCTCAGGGATAAGAATTTTTTTAGGTAGTCATGATCTCCCTTTAGATTTAAAAACCAAAAACCTTTAGTACTTGCCCTGCTACTGTTTTCTCTGCCCAAGAAACACAAGCTTCACCCTGCTCCATTCATAAAGACAAGGTTTGAAAGCAATTGGCTAGAGGACTTTTTGCCCCCAACTAGGAGAAGACAAGATGTTCAAACAATTACAAAAAAGGGATATATAATCTTAAAATTTGAAGAACGACAGAAATTCATGGCAACTGTGTGCTATTTTGAGTTGTTACTCAAAACAGAGTAACAGTCTTCTCAGTTGGGTTTCAAAGGAAAAAAAATAACATTAGTTACTGGAACATTTAATATCGTACTAGAGGTGTACAAAACAGTTACAAGTACAAGCTATCATTTTATTTTTTCCTGCACATGACCGACAAATAGTACTCAGTCCTATCGAGTACCACAAGAAACATAAAAAATGGAAAATAATCTTTTCTGATGAGTGTGAAGCTACCATCCAATTACTTTACATGAACTACTTAACTAGACAAATTTAAGCAAAGAAAACAGACCTAGACAATCACCCCTTTCTCAGTTTTTTAACTCATTTCTGCAAATCATTGAGGAATATGTGTAAGGAGAAATATTACCTCCATTTTCTCAGTTAAATGCATTTAATTAAAGAGTGGCTGACAAAATCTCCAAGTATAACATACAGCACAACATGCTACACCAAAAAAAAATCTGTGACAAAACAAATTTAATACTAGTAGATTATCCAATATTACCTTGCCTCATTAGCATCAACTGATGCTCATGTCTAGCTGCTTCCATTTCTGCCTCCAGTTTCTCTTTGGCTTCTCTAATGTTCCTGTCAACCTGTTCACGTTGTTGCTTTTCCATCTCATCAAGAGCCTTCCACCGTGAAGCATACTCAAACTCAAATGTTCCAGGCTGAGCAAAACGTGGAGGCTGTTCTCTTTCCCTAATAGAAATTTTGCAGGTAAAATGTACAGAAGGACACATTTAGATCAACAGCTGCAACAGGCAGAAAATGTATAAACAATCACTTCAAGTGCAGATCTGACTTTACATCAACCTGTCGGATGACTACGTTCCAAACCAGACAAAGCTTAATTCAGCTGTTAAGTCAAGTAACAAAGTAACAGGGACAGTTTTCCAAAAACTGTCCAAATAAAGATCTGTCCAATTTATTTAAGATAAAAATTCATATTTACATCAGTACAAAATACTAAGTTGCAACAGCAGATTAACTGTGTTCAGCCTTGTAAAGCAAGCAGTCAATTCATAAAACCAGTTATTTAGATAACTATCAAAGCTTACTAGACAGCTCAGAATATTAGCCAGAATCTGTACACATTAAAAGGTGTTAACATTTTATTTCCCATTCTAACACTAATACTGTACCTAACCCTCAAAAATTTTTAGGAAGTGATATTCTACAGTCTTACCAGAACACTTTACCGTCAAGCAATTCAAGCAACATGATTTTTAATGGCAAATTACAATACTAAAAATAAGTATTTTCAGATTAGGTGACTTCTACCTCATGATCAAGACTCACTTTCTCATGTCATGCTCAAAGTTTTATCTGACCTGTGGAAGCTGCAAAGATGTACCCTCCACTGACTTTGCAAACAGTTAAGGGGCTGTTCAGAGAACATAAAATCAGTGGATACACAAATCTCTGCAGGATTAGACCACACCCCTAATCCATAAAAGACTACCAAGCTCCCACTGACTGCAGTGTAGGCCAAGAATCTCTCTACTTTAAAAACACACAGAATGTAAAACCAACAGGCCAAGTCTCAATTTTACTATGATTAGGAAATTCTGGGAAGGTCATCTTTAATCCTTTGACACAAAACAGCATGACATGGAAAATACTACTTCCTGCTACTCAAATCCCAAAATAAAAATTAATGTATATTTATCAAGGTAACTAAGTACATAAATCATGTTTTATAAAATAAAGGTAATCACAACTCACTTGTGGTACTGTTGTGTTTTTTGCATTAGTTTCTCTGGGAGTCCATCTTCATCATCAAATTGCTCCATTGGTTCTACAACAACAGGTCGAGGTGTTCTGGAAAACATTTTTAATATAATAACTGAATCACAGATCAACCAGGTAAAGTTATTTTAGCATTTTGAGAAAACATTCCAGAAAGCTAATATGTAGTCTATATATTTGTGTATCTTGCTTTAAATCACAGAATTTCAATGAATCCTGATTTTAAGAATTATCTTTGAAAATAATTGTTTCTGTGCCCAAAACCAGCTGTTCAGCCCAGAAACCACAATTTACTTGACATAGTTTTGTTTGCTATAAAGGAAAGATTTTCTTAAAATATCAAAACCATCGACTAACAATTACAACATACTTAGGAAGGAACTACCTTTTTGTTTCCATCAGTAAGGCAACACAGGGGCCATGATTATACTGCTGGGAAAGCCTCAAATTCAAAACAGAATAACACAACCTAATCTGATATTTCTACAGACCTTTAGAATTTAGTTTTGAAAGTTTCTCTACAACTGAAAACAGCTTGGTCATTTGGCATTAATATTCCAGTGACAATTAGAAAGACATTTCTGCTTAAGTTATTTAAAACCCATTCTTTGAATAACCATACACTCACAAATCAGAATCCTAATTTACCTTTGAAAATCGCATCCTTGAAATGTAGTAACCAGAGTAAGTATTAGCCATTACTGACAGAGATAGCAGTATAAGAACTGTGTAAAAAGCTCTCTGCATCAGTATTGGGAGCAGAGCCCAAAAACATAGTTTAAAGTGCTAGAAACACTATTTACAAAACACCAGCACTCACTTGTTACGTTCCACACCTTTATCTCACTTTGCAGATCATAACCCCCCCTCTTCTGGCATCAAGTCTAGATTAAAAAGATGAAGTGTGGAATCAGAGGGCACAACTCAGCAACTGTTCCATCTGATGCTATCTGCATGGCAATTGATGACAGTTCTGCTTTTTAAATGCAACTGAACTGTGGCGCTAACAAGTTATGACTCAAAACAATTTTAAATCTATAAATTAATGTTTCAAATGTCTAGTTGTGATCCATTTAACCCATGAATTTAAAGATTTTCTTCTGATCAAGCAAAGAGTTTTCAGCTAATAAATGTGAAATTTTAGACTCTGAAGCCAAATATAAAAATATCACAGCAGCAGATTCATGCTAAGTATCTTTGCAACTGTGCTTCAGGGAACATGTCAGACACTTAAGCAAGACAAAGATCAAGTGCTTTTTATTCATTCAGGCCACAGTTAGATGGTCAATTCTATCCAGCTGGTAAAACAGGAATACTACCCCTCATAACATCCTGGCTTATCTTCCCCTGCCACATCTTTCATGCCAAAAATAACACTCATGTAACACTGGGCTAGATTAGTTCCCTTGTTTGGCTCACCACACTTCCATTCAAATACTAATGCCAAGAAAACCCAGGGGATAAGAATAAATTGCTGGCACCTCCTGATAACAGCAAAGACCTATTCAGATTGAATTTACTATGTAACTACCAAATCAGTTTAGTGGCACACGAGATTTATGAGATTATCACAAGAAATAGGAGTTCCAGACCCTTTACCCACCTGCAATCTCCTCCTGATAACATTTTCTCCTGCACCTGACATTAGCAAGCACCATCATGTGCTTAAACAGACTAAAACGAACCCAAGAAAAACTGAATGCTTTTCTGCTGTTTTAGCAAGCCAAAGAGGCTTATGGAAATATCATGAAGTTCTCAAGCTGACAAAAGATCAACAGCACAGCCAAGGCAAGAAAAGAACTACAAGTTCCCCAATTCAATGGAAGTAACTTTCCTCCAGACTGTGAAATCACAGCCTTATTTTTCCAAATGAGAACCAGAAAAATAAAAACTAAAAAATAAATCATGACTATTCATCATTTCACATAGTCTTTCTACATAAAATGCTATAGAAAGCATTTGAAAATGTCACTGTGAATGTGGTGAAGTACAGCACTAAACAATTCTCTTCAGCACATACAGAAATAAGAGATGCAAGAGAATTTCTACAATTTTCAAGTTTGCTCGCCCTTGAAATAGAAGTTTTCCTGAGATCATTGTTATAAAGCTCTGCAGAATCTCAGTCTTCATTTAAAAACAACAACAAAAAAATCTGGCCTTACAAGACACAAATAAAATTTTGAGATAGAAACACTTTCCTCTGTCTATGGAAAGATCAGCAATGTTGGGCACTGTTTTGTTAAGAAACAAAGAAATATTATTTTGTCACATTGTTACTGGAATCAGGAAGACTGTAATCAATGAAAATTAAGTCTCACTAGGAAACGCCATTCTATGTAGAGAATATTGCATATAACCAAGAAAATGCTAAATTTTGCTCTCAGATTCTCATATGGTAATAAGAAATCTTATCAACAGTAAGCAGAGAAAGATGGTTTTCTTTACAAAAAAAAAAATCAAAAGTATTTGGAGTATTCATGTAAAACACCTTAATTTCTCATCTCATGGCTTTCATAATTATATTAAAAAAATAAAATAAGAACTAGGAAATGCCCACGAATGCAGCTTTTGTTCACACCAGAAAGATACACACAAATTCAACCAAAAGCCTGGGAACTTACGTTGTTAGTAAGAATGCCCCATCACTGCATCTTTCTAGAGCTTTTCGTGCTGGAGGTTTTGCTGCAAACTCTACGAAACCTTTTCCAGTAGCTCTGCCACGATCATCTACTACAACAACCGCTCTTTCCACTGGCCCGAATTGAGAGAATGCTTGTTCCAGCAGCTCATTAGAAACCACAGGTGAAAGATTCTTGACAGTTAAGGCAGCTCCGTGTGTAGCAAATCGAATTCGAAGTGGTCTGCTCTTCAAAATAGTACCATCAAGTTCTGCCTTCGCTATTTCAGCCAGGGTCCTAGATTCCTTTATCAAGATATAAAATATTTAATAAATTTTAATTTCAAAGACAACAGATGCCACTTTCAAGTGTCCCCCCTCGAGAAGTAGCAAAGTTGTTTTCTTTGACTTGACCACACTGGCATCAGAGTTACCCACCTTTTTTTCCCCTCTAATAAAAAAAAACACCGAAGTTCCTGTCTTCTGATTGAAAAAAAAAGGCGTTCATCATCCACTATGATTTATTCTAAAAAACGACACGCACACTAATTTTTGTTGCACATTTGAGGACTTAACAAATTTCCATTATGACAGTGCTGCCCCATAAAGGCTTTGAGTAGAGTTGAACATCTGATGCTTTTTCGTATCTACCTACTGAGATGTTTATATTCGGCATCCCTAGTTCCAAATAGCAGGAAACGGTATTTTCAAAGATAACACTACAGCATCTAAGGTGGTTTGGGTTGGCTTCTTGTTTTGCCTTTTCATAAGTGAAAATATCACACTTGCTCTCAATGGATGTTCAATTCAAATTTCATCAACAAATCCTGAAATCACCTTCTTTCCTCATTTCTTCTCACCTTTACAGGCTTTCTGCACCCACATCCATGAGACAGTGTGCATGAACAACTGCTATCAGTCTCTTCACCGAGACTGATACATGCAATCCCTCAAAGAAATTATTCTTAGATCCTTCTCCACAGTTCAACTGACTAGGTAAGCTTATATATATATATATATATATATATATATATATTCCTCTGAACATAATGAAAAAGGGAAGCTCACATAAAAGCTCTAGCTAATCTATATTACATACAAAACTGAGTAATGGCATGTAAATATATCGCACTTCCTCCAGAAAATTGCTATTTCGGGCTGGGGAACTTTCAAGGTAAAAGATGTATGGCAGAATGCCACAAGCATTTTAAGATGACAACCAAAAAGAAAAAAATTGTTAACCAGTAAAATATATGAAATAATCATATCTAGAGACACCCAAGGAACTCTAAACCTATTCGCAGAATGATATAAATCGGTGCATTCTAGACACAGCAGTCATGAAAACCAATAATACTACATATTAAATTGACATTTAAATATAATATCATAAACTTTCTGGATGATTCATTTTTTCGCCTGCTCAACTGGAGTATGTTTGATCAAATTCTGTATTACCCGTAAAAATCCAGTCCTATCTGGGCACAAGTAATTTAGACAAACCAAGTCCCCCATTCTTTGCAATTCCGTGACTGTATGTTCCGCTTTCACGACGTGTGAGCAGCGGTATTTCGAAATAATTCTGCCCAGTGCCGACGGGTGAGGCGGGGTTCGAAACGCCAGGGGCCGGGAGGGCTGCTCAGAAAGCAAGCCTCTGGCTTGGATGTAACAGGAGAGGGGGGATAAGGAAGAAGAGGCGGAGGGACCAGCGCTAGCAGCGAGCAGAGAGAATGGGAGGCAGACACTGCCATTTTTTTACACCCGCCGAAAAGGAAGGGAAGGGGGCGGGGGGCAATGGACCGAAGCGTCCCGCTTGCAGAGGCAGCCCCTGGGCCACGCAGGAGCTCGCCCGGATCCTTACCAGGCGGATGAAGCCGAAGCCACGGTCCCGATTGATGAAGACCTCGCTGGGCTCCCCGTAGCGCTCGAAGAGGCGCTTGAAATCCTCCTCGGTAATATCAGTAGGCAGATTTCCCACGAACAGCCGGCAGCGCTGAGTGTAGCTCTTCTCGCCAGGTTTGAGAAAGCTCTTGATATCGATGGTGAACCCACCCTCCTGCTCCTCATCTCCGCCACCTTCTTTGCTCGGCGCCAGCGCCATGGCCGCCGCCGCCTCACTCTCCGCTTCTAGGCCCCGCAATCCTTTCAGATTGCCGCCGCCGCCGCCACCCCCCACCATGCCCAGCGGCGCCGCTGGGGAGCTGTTCTCGATCCGCACTTGCTTCAAGTTCCTATTCGCGGCCATATCCGCTCCTTCCCCGCCGGTTCTCCCCGGGATGACGCGGATCCCAGCCCGGCAGCCGCCGCCTCCGACCCTCGGCCGATTCAAAATGGCGCCGCCGCCAGCCCCGGCGAGTTGTAACGTCCCCGCAGAAGCCCCGCCCAGCGGCGCCGCTCCCGCTGCCGGCCGTGGCGCTGCGGCTGCCGCCCATGGCGTCCCGGGCTTCTGCTCCTCTCGGCTCCGGCACACGGAGCTCCGAATTTGCCTCCGCAGAGGCAGGTATGTGCCAGCGGCTGCACTGCCTGAGGGGGATAACCCGCCCGGAGGTTCCCTCGGTACGTGACCCGCCCGCACGGAGAGCCGGCGCAGCCATGTTGCGTTAGAGCAGTGGTCTCGTCAGCCCGTCCTCAGGCAGAGGGGTCCCCCGATGGGGTCTCTCCCGAGGGAGAGGCAGGTGGGCTGCCCCGGCGGGGTGTCTGGTCGCTGCGGAGGAGGGAGGCAGGCGTGACACGACAGACGCTGAGGCGGCTGCAGGGACAGCCGCGGGAATCACAATTACGGAACCACTTAGGTTGGAAAACACCTCTGAGGTCGTCGGGTCCAACCTCTTACAGAAAACCAACATGCCAAGTGGACCATGGCACTAAGTGCCACGTCCAGTCTTTTCTTAAACACCTCCAGGAACGATGACTCCACCACATCCCTGGGCGGTCCATTCCAATGTCTAATTGCCCTTTCTGTGACGAAATTCCTCCTAATGCCCAAACTAAACCTCCCCTGGCACAGCTTAAGACTGTGTCCTCTCATCCTGTCAGTAGTTGCATGGGAGAAGAGACTGACCCCACCTGGCTACAACCTCCTTTCAGGTAGTCATAGAGAGCAATAAGATCACCCCCGAGCCTTCTTTTTCTCCAGGCTAAACCCTCAGCTGCTCCTTATAGGATATGCGCTCCAGACTCTGCACCAGCTCTGTTGTCCTTCTCTACACATGCTTCAGCACCTCAATATCTTTCTTGTAGTGAGAGGCCCAAAACTGGACACAAGACTCAAGGTGTGGCCTCACCAGTGCCAATTACAGGGGGACAATCACTTCCCTAGTCCTACTGGCCACACTATTGCTGATACAGGGCAGGAAGGACCACACGGGCACTGCGGTAGACCACAGGAAGACCTGTGGATGAACAAGACAGGAAAAATGTACACTGAGGAAGATGTAGGAGACAAATCTCAGTGAAGAGAGGCCTTGTTACATCTGCTTCTTCTGCAACAATTTCTTAGAGGGCAACAGGTTTCATTATAAAGGGGATGACTTTCTTCTGAGAGGTGTGAAGTCAAACATTTCCTTCCTCGAGCACCCCTTCTTGTAGCAAAGACTACATATATCTCTCATCTGCAGCACAAGACTATAGTTTGCTCTCCTGTGGGATGCCCAGTTGCCTGGTTTGATCTGTGTACTTCAAGTACACGGGAGCATAGTTTCTCAGACAAAGAGCTCATTAGTTTGCTGGTTGCCTCATAGAAAGCCCAATAATCCATTCTTGGCTCAGTAATTACTAACATAGTAGCCTAAGCACTTCAGGTGCCCATGTAGCTCTGCATCACACAGGGGAACTCCTGGACGGTAGAGCAAGACTTAAGGAGAAAATAACCATATTATTTGTTTCATTAAAACAACAATAGCACTGAAAAAGTCAAGACCATCTCATTATGTTAATAGTTACTTCAGCCAGTGCATGGCATGTAGTGTTCTTTGGAAAAAGCAATATTAAGCATGATATTCAAGAACAAGTTAATTCTACAACAGGCACAAATCTGTCACTCAGTGGTTTCCTTGTCTGTTGGGGAATATTTAAGTTCCTCTGTCTTGTTTTTCCATTTGAGGTACAAAAAAGATTTCAGTTCTTTTCCTCCTGTCTCTGATCTTGTACCAGGACCCTGAGAAAACACAAGTTCCCAGCTTTATCAGCCCACCTCTTCCTGAAGTAGACTCAGATGTAGGGCATCAAGCTAAACCCAGATTTAAAGCTCTGAAAATCAGTAGAGGAAGGATATCTACGCATAGCAAAGGCAGGAAGTCAGGCAGTGTAGGAACATGAGGGAGCTATTAATAGTCCCTAAAGCTTAATCATCTTGACTGTCCAAAGAGCTATGATTTGTAGTATATTTAGGATTCAACACATTCAAGTGTTAAGACAGAAAAGAACTAACTTACAACAAACCAGTAACTTTGTAAAATGGGTAAACATGTAAAGGGAGTGAAACATATGTTAGAAATTATGTGACTGTACATTGTAGATGTATACTCATCAGTAGATGATAAAAGGGAGATGTGAAGTAGTCTGCTTGATAAGTTTTCGCCAGTGCCATGTAATAAAATTGTCATGGTTTTCAAACGCAGATTTCCAAATCAGGTTAGTAATAAAAGCTGTAACCATCTAAATATACAACCATAATTTCATGTGTATTATAAAAAAATCAATAGGAGGAGCAAGGAGTGTTTACAAATTCCACACTATTCTTACCTTTCCTTGGCTGAAGCCATGTCTCAATAGAAAATGATAGTGCAGTAAAATAGAGCAATAAAATTCCCCAGAAACTAGAAAATCATTGATGTATCTGAAAATATATATATTTTGTTGTGTGCTCATGAATTCATACATTATCTTAATTGGTCAGATTTGCAATATAACCACAATGCACCTACATGCCCTGTTTAAACTTTTTAGTGGAGGAGCTATTTGCACATGCCCCACAGTCAAACACTTAAGGGTAATGTACAAAAAGAACTCAATATCTGCTATGCTCAGTCACTTCCTCTTGTTCATTTACATATCACTTCACATTTTACTTATTCATCAGAACAGCCCCAGACAGTTCATCTCCCTTACTGCCCAGAGTCTTTGTGGCTTGATGATTGCTACACCGTGCCACTCCCACCAGTTCGACAAGTAAACATTTTGAAAGTAGACAAAATGGAACCCTTGAAGTTCTTGTTCCAATGCTTTCCTTCTGTTGTGAACATCCGCCGACATTTTTATGACTTAACTAATTCCAATTCATATAATGAGAAGAGTTCTGCTAGACTGTTCCAGCCACTCTCTATAAGTTTGGTATTGTTATATTTAATATTTTTAAGCAGTTGAACTACATGAAAGTAATTGCAGAAGAGTGGGGGAGTAACAATTGTGATCACACGGTCATTTGTTTTCACTCTGTAATCCGAGCAGAAAACAGGAGCAGAATTGTGAAAACCACCAATATTTTTCATTTTGTGTGCTACAGAGAAAAGTTCTGTTTGGTGTATGCTCAAGTGTTCATGCTGTCAAGAAATTTGGGTGTTTTGCCAAAACACACACCGTCTAGCCATGTGCCATAAGAGATACAGCCAGAAGCAATTGACCTAGCTTTTCATTTTCTGTATCATAACATTACTTTTCTGCCAAATATCAGCATCCTGCTGAAAATCAGGGAGGCATGAGACCTCTAAGAGAAAGTCATGACAGCTTTTTATGCTGCGAACTTGTAAATGCTACACATCTTGATCTGCAGATAAAAATCCCAAACTATTTGTATTTACCCTTGAACAACTTCAAACTGATTGCATGGATGCCAACACTGCAGTCCTGACAGCCGTGTTAGTGCTGAAGCTGGCTTCTCAAAAGGCTATTGAAGCTTACTGCTCAACACATCTCTGGAATTCCAAGTTTATTTCTTGTTACTTCCCAAGATCTGCAATGAGTCACAGTTAGGATCAATACTTGTAATTCAAGCTGCAGTGGTAGATCATGACAAAATGTATCAGGTAGCACCAGAACTGAGAGGTAAATTAGAGGCATGGGAGAGGTTGATCCATGTGAGAGGAGAAGGGAAACAAGGGAAAGCACAAAATTCTGCACTGAAAAAGAAAGGAGCGGCATAGGTAGTGATTGATGGCCTGAGGCTGGGATTCTTTTCTGAAGTGCGAGGCCAGGAAGCTGAGGTACACCTCTGTGCATGACCTGATGGAGGTGGGAGCTGCTGCTGCTCTTCATCTCTTGCCATTAAAGGCAGCATTTGCCTTCAGTTTTGCCCATGGCAGGATCGGGACAAATTAAGCTTGGTAGGTAGGTATTGGTCTCCACTACTGAGCTTCTCTTACAAGGTTCAGTTGGCTAAGAATATTAGAAAGACTAGCTGTCATAGCTGTGCCAGCGAGCCTGATGGTATAAACATACCGGTGTGGAGGAACATTGCTTAATGCAATCTGAAATAGCGATGCATACTTTGTAATCATCTGAGGATGACCTCATTATGTTACTAATAGAGTACTAAGAGTGGTTACGACTGTCGTTGCGGTGCCATCTGGTGACAAACATTGGAATTATCACTAGAACTTTAATAGAATAATCCAAACGAAAATAAAGATGAAAAACCTACAATAATATTATTTTGTTGGTTCCAGATGGACAGCACGGCTTGGATTTTCTATTTTTAAACTTGGTGAGAAAGCCTCTTTTCTCTGTTCTCCTTTCTTAATAGTATAATTCAACCACATATATTCATTGTTTTTACATGGATTTAAGTGTATATGAATCACATTTATAAAATTTATAAATCCTAACTTAATATGGTTAATAGCCATCTAAATGCATGCCATATTAATAGATTTTTTAACGGGAATTAAGACCAGTATTTCAGAATTAACCAGGTATGTGTAGTCAGCATTACTCTTGAAAACAACATTGGTCTCAAGGAAACAAGGACTGAAAATACATGAAAACAGATTTGTCTGTGAAGGCACACTTGCCAGATGGCAATTTAAGCTCGACAAAAGTTACCTGACTTTTCCAAAGCTACTTTCTTCACTAGTATAACCAATGCATACAATGGGCTCCTTTTTGAATATTTTTCAGCATATTGTCTTTGCCTATTCTGTACAAGAGTGACAGTTAAATACTAGGGCAAGCAGGAAGTTAAAGCCCTAAAGCATTCCACAAATATATTCAGCCCTTAATTTATCCCTAAACAATCATTTGACGTGCTGTCAGCACATCAGGCAATAGAGCTTCACTTGGGGATTCAGTAGGATGGGGTAGATGACCAGTGGTTGGGGTTTTTGTTGTCTTTTACTCCAAATCATATCTCTTCATTTGATTA